TGTACCACATCTTTTTAATCCAGTCATCCACTTTTGGGCATTTGGGCTGTTTCCATGTCTTTCCAATTGTAAATAAAGCAGCAATAAACATGGGGGTGCAGGTTTCTTTTTGAATCAGTGTTTTGACACAAAAATCTTTTAAGGGTCTATATTTCTCCTTTTACTGATATATAATCAGTATATATATATATATATATATACACACACACACACACACACACATACATATTAGTATATATATGTGTGTGTATATATATATATGTATATATATGAAACCAATTTTGGATATGATTTTTTTTTTGTAAAGGTGACAAATGTGATATTTTATATGCTTAATAAAAATAGGTACACTCAAAAATCCTTAAAGTTTTATTGACAGTCAAGTACAGGCAATTAAAATGCCACACCATTCCAGAAAGAAGGTCTTTCTGACAATCTTTAGCTTCCTTTCCCTGACTTGGGGTGTTAGTTTTCCTCTAGAACAAAAAAACATGTTTTGCCAAATCTAAAAGTTATGTGTATGAAATAGAACAAGGAGACAGGGTGGAGATGCCATCAACACTTACCATAGAGGTTGAAATGTAATTCCTAATTAATAGCTACATTTGGGACATGTGAGATAACTGCATATGCAAATAAATGCTGGGAAAGTGTTCCATGGGATACACACCTCTATTAAGTGTTTTGAAAGTCACTGTGGGTTATGAAACTTAGTGTTCCAATCATTTCATTTATGGGAAGCAGTGAAATAGCTACAAAAGAAAGAATGATGACTAGAGAAAGGTAAGAAACTTGGCTGATCCAGGTCTTGGACAATTGAGGTATTGGGAGATGCTATTTGAGTAGAGGTAGGGAAAGTACCTTTTCTCAGATTATGATAAACATTAACTCTAAAAATGTTGAAAATTCACTGACATCATTGGACCTAGAGGGTATACATTTAAATGATTGTATCTATATGAGTATTTCTATCTTTGTTTTCCTCTCTTGCCATGAACAAGTCATTTCTAATGAGAATCAGGTGATCTTGGTGAATAATGTCAGCAAGCTCATACCGCACATAAACTCAGAATTATTTGCTTAACACCCACAAAGTAAGGGTTTCGCCTGGGTGTCAAGAAGCTTATTTTACCCATATAGGGCTTGACTCATCAATTTGTGTAATAAAGTTTTCAAAATATGATGGGTGATGATTACTTTTTACAAGGTTGGAAAAAGATTATCCAGAGCAGAAAGCTTTCCCATTATATAGTCCTGTCAGGGGCTTGAAACTACTGTCCTATTCTAGTCAGTTGTTTCCTTTAATGTTCCTTTGTTTCTAAACTAGTGAGGAAAGATGGGATATACTAAGGTTATTTGGAGAAAGTTCAATAAAATTGTGTCTTCTTTCCTACCAGACCTAGGCTAAGGTTTCCCCGGTCATAGCATGAGTTTAAGTCTAGAAGATGCTCAATTATGAATTAGTCACCTCTCTTGATGGGAGCATCATTCTTCAACAACTACCTCTGGACTCTTACCTGGGCACGGTGCTCAAAGTATAGGGGGTGACTGCACACAAAGTCTAATAAGATGTCAGAACCTTTCTAAATAAAAAGCTCACCATTCAATAGTGCACACCACTAGTTATTACAACATTTCCCTAAGGTTAAATTTAACAGAGCTAAATGCTCAGTTAAAATTTAACTGAGCATTTACTGTGTGAAAGATACTAGTCCACGCAACAGAGTAACTCATTTGTCCTCAAATGGGCCTGTGAGGAAGGGACTATTCGATTTGCATTTTACAGTAAAGAAACAGGTACTGCAGTTAATTACCACCCCCTCCACCCCCCCAGAGTCATACAAGGCTTAGTGGTGGAGGCAAATTTGAGAGCGGGCAGTCTGGCTCCTAAGAGCTAGGATAAACAAGAGTGCAGAGTAGGAAGAAGAAAGCACAAGACAAGCTGGGACCAAGGGGAAAAACAGAAAGGCGGATTAGTACTGGTATTAACAGAGTTAATAAGGCTAACGTCATTCATTTACTGAATGACGTTTCTAGCACATTAGTTCCTAGCACCACCGCCCAGGGTTGGAAAGTTAAAAAATTCCTAACTTTGTAAGGTTCACTGCAGATCCTAAGATATTCCCAAACCAGTTCAGTGGTTAGTGGATCTCTCACAACCTTGCAGCGAGCATCTCTGGGGCCGATTCCTGCAGAACTACAACTCCCAAAATGCATCGCGCGGGAGGTTGCGCCCACACTCAGGAATACGAGGGTTCTACAAAAGTGCCTTGAGAGGGAAAAAAAAAAATTACATCCATTTCTCGCCATTTCCCCACATTCACATAGACCTTACCTCAAGTAGGAGCAACATTTTTTTATTTCTAGCGCATACGGTGAAGCGTGAAGCGTGTAGACTTGCTTTTGACTTCAGGCACAGCACAGGGCAGGCACGACGACAGAGCACAGGCGCGAGGTCCCTGAACCTAGGGAGGAGGCAGTGGCCGCAGGGTTGGACGGAGGCCGGAAGTGTGTGAGGGACGAGGCCGTGGCGTGGGTGGTTGCGGGCGCTCACTTCCGGCCAGTGCGTAGATTTCGGCCGGCTCGGAAAGACACTCTGTAAGCTCTTCTTCCGCAGCTAACCGCAGCTTACGCACTCCGCGAGCTCTGAGGCGTCCAGTCTCCGCTCCTCTCACCGTAGGCCTTGACGACATGAGCAACAAAGAAGGTGGCATTCTCAACGTTGGGCGTTATTTATTCCAAGGGGGAGGACCTCCTGGCTTTTTGTCGAATTTTGCACTTTTCCTCACCCGTGAGGGATGTCCTCTTCTCGTGCAGGCTGGGGGATGGAGGGAGGTGGCGGCCCCGGCGATTTTCCCGGTCACATTGGCCCTGTTTACATCTCGCATTTTCTTGTGTTTTCGAGATATATTTTTGATCTTAGCTCGGTAGTTGCTCCACCTGGTGCCAGAGCAAAGAACCAGTGGTGGAGGCCTGGTTGAAGTGAGCTTAAGGTTTGGAGAGAAAAGGCAAGGCTTCTCTTCTGTCAGTCTGCTGAGAAAGCCTGTAAGGAGAGGGCCTCCCTGGGTCTCTGGTTATCTGGTTTTAAAGGAAGCAAGGGTTTGCCAGTGCTATGTTTGGACAATTCTTAGTGATGGAAGAACTCTGTCCAACTTTTTTCTTTTTCTGTATGTAAGGATCAGGAGGGTTCAGGAAAAGGAAGCATGACAATTTCCCACATAACCAGAGAAGAGAAGGGAAGGATGTTAACTCATCTTCACCTGTGATGTTGGCCTTCAAATGTAAGTTCTTTGTAATGTCAGTTGGCTAAGGGGAGAGGACTAAGAGGTTGTGAGTAACAGGAATCATTTAGTTATGTTATGAACAGAACATTCCCTAAGAATTTGACATGGCCCTATGTGAATCTTTTAGTTTTCCTGGAGGTTTTGTGTTGGTGTTAGGTCTACCATGAAATTTTAGATTACAAAAATCTTGACTTCTTTCCCTATTGCAATTATAGGTAAAAAATAAAAATCAAACCTTCCACATAACTAAAAATTACTGGTACTCCCCATAGCACTAGCAGTTTTAGGTCTTTGAAGTAACAGTGCTTTGAAATCACACACTATCAGATACATGCATCCACACACATAAAGTATATATGCATATAATTAATTTTTGATGATTTGACTTTATTTCCTCAACTAGTCTTTTGAAGCCAGGGACTGTATTTTCATTTTAACTGTGACACTTTGCATAGAATGGGGAACTCATCTATTAGTAAATCATGTGAACGTATATATATTACATTCCCCATTTTGCAGTTTATTATTATTACCAACTTCCTCATTTAAAAACAAAATTCTTCCTCTTGTCCACTGTCCACCATCCTGTACCTTATAGTTTCTGTGGAAATCGGAGAGGGGCTTAGCTGTTCTAACTTGCAGACCTGTGAAGGCTTTTTTGGGGCTAGAGAATCCATAACGGTTGAAAAGTTAGATCAGCTAACAACCAACTCTCAGTTCCTCTCTCCTTTGCCCACTCTGATAGTGCTGCTATAGTGTTCCATGTTAAGGCATATGACTTCAACTTCTCTGACAGAAAGCAAAGGTGAAAGGTATAATCCTTTTGTGTCCTAATCATACATATGCTGTCACTTTTGCTACATGCTTTTAGTTAAAAATGAAGCAAAACCCCTCTGCCTCTTATTTAAAGGGAAGAAAATTTGCTTCTACCTTTTGAAGAGAGGAGTCTTAATTTGTAGGTATGTTTTAAAATCACCGCAGCACCTTCAGTTAACTTTAGAGGTGTGGGACAGCTAATTGTAACTGAGTAGAGAGTATACTGATAAAGCTTTATATTTCTGGAAAAACTACAGTGGGTCAAGTCTTGCCATGTTTATACACTAACACCCTCTACTAAGCTATTCTTTCCAAGCATATTTGCTATTTTAAGTTTCTGTCTGTTTTTACATACATGGTTCTTTAATCTTGGAATTGCTTTGAACTTGGGCCCCCATTGCCCATCTGACAGACCTCTCAAGTAGATTCTCCACTTTGTAGCATTTCTGATTTTTCTCTTAAGTAAACTGGGTGACAGACATTGCATGTATTTATCCATTGTACATACAGTCATCCTTCAAATATGGAACACCTTCGTTCCAGCACGTGTTAGTAGTCAACAAAGAAAATGATAGCTTCACTTGAATGTTTTACATATTTTTTTTTTATTGAATGATTACATTTTATTTATTTGTTTGCATCACTCTCTCATTGGACTGAGTTCCTTAAGGATAGGAACAGTTTTATTTAACTTTGTCATCATAATATATATTATGTATTACATGTTAGTTGTTTGGAGATATTAGGTAAAATCTTTGCTTAACTAGTATATAAATAATTAAAGACCAGATGTATTTAGGTCCTTGTCAGCTACTAATTTGGTTGTTACTCAAGTTCTGGGTTTTTGTTGTTTTTGTTTTAATTTATGCAAGATGCATTTATTTGGTATCTTCTGTAGGAAAACAACTTTGTAAGTCTTTGGAGATAAGTTGTTTGAATAGCAACAGTGTGTTTGATAGGCTTCAAGTGTAGACGATGAATGCTTACAGTTATAATAATGTGTTTTTAGCATTTCAGCAGGAACTTGATGCAAGACACGACAAATATGAAAGACTTGTGAAACTGAGTCGAGATATAACTGTTGAAAGTAAAAGGACAATTTTTCTCCTCCATAGGATTACAAGGTGAGTAAATGGCTTTAAAATTTAAGATAGCAGATTAAGTGCTAGGTAGGCCCATAAAATTTGTTAATTGTAGATACGTTTTGAAATTATTCTTTTCACTACCTGTCTCTCAATAGGCAGTAACTAGCTGTTAAAATATTCTGTAACTTATTCTGGGAATATTGATATCAGAAGATGTAAGCAGCAGGTAGGTTTTAAACAACCATTTTAATAAAAATAGAAGGGAAAAATTCTTATTTTCAGAGCAGGTAGGGATTTTGTGTTTTTAACACTCTGAGATATAGCTATATTGGCTTGTGAAAATATTAAATGTTTGACTATGAGAGCCTATTACATTACTTGGATGATACACTGGAAAATTTAGTATTAGAAAATTGTTAAAGTCTGCTTAAATTACCTTCCCATTCATTTTTCAACTCAATGCAATCTGGCTTTCCGCCTCACAATTGTTAAATTGCCCTTTATTCCTTCATATTGCCTAGTGCATTTTGTTCTCTTTTATCTTTGTAGCATATGATACTGTTGACTACTTATTTCTTTGAAAGTTAATTTTTCAGCTTTGTGACATTTAAGCTTTATTTCTCCTTTAAAAATTTATTGTGTGTTTAACATGTAAGTTTTAGGTGTGCGTCATTGAGACTCAGCATGTACATATACTTCTTTGAGCTCACTGTTAAAAGTCCAGTTTTATCCATCATACCTCTTTCCCCTTCTGGTAATTGCCCTTATAGTTTAAAATTACTTAGTTCATCTATATTTGTTTTCTCATTATACCACATGATTGAAATCATGTGGTACTTGTCTTTATCTGATTTTTTTCATTAAGCATAATACCATCCATGTTGGGATGGGTCATCCATGTTGTTGCAAATCGCAGCAGCTCATTTTTTTTTTAAATAACTGAATGGTATTCCTGTGTGTGTGTGTGTGTGTGTGTGTATGTGTGTGTGCGTGCGTGCGCGCGCGCACTCACAGTCAGCTGATGGGTACTTAGGCTGTTTCCAATTCTTAGCTATTGTAAGTAATGCTGCAGTAGACATGCATCTCTTCAAATTACTGATTTTGCATTTTCAGGTAAATACTCAGGTATGGGATAACTACATCAAACAGAATTTCTATTTTTAATTTTTGTAAGAATCACAGACTGCTTTCCATAATGTCTGCATCATTTTATATATATTTTTTTTTTTTAAGATTTATTTATTTGTGCATACAGAACTGGGGTACAGGCCAGAGGCTCAGGGGCGGTGAGAGGCTTCACCAGAGACAGAGTGGGGAGCAGAACAGGCAGATGGACGAAGTACACTGCTGAGGGGAGCAGTGGGCGGGTCAGGAGAGGTCTGCCGCGCCATGTGGTCACCTCCGGGGCAGGCAGGGATCGAACTCATGCGGAAGTGGCTTTAGTTTCTCAGTGCTGTGCTTTAACCTGCTGCGCCACCAGGGAGGGCCCTCATTTTATATTCTTACCAACAGTGTGTAAAGAGTTCCCTTCTCTCTACATCTTCAATATTTGTTGTTTCTTGTTTTTTGGGTAATAGCCATTCTTACAGGTGTGAGGTATATTTCATTGCTGTCTTGATTTGCATTAAAAAAAATTCTTGGTTGCAAAAAAAGAAACCAGTTTAAACTGCCCAAGCAGAGGTGGTAAGTGAATTATGCAGATTCTGAAATATCTTATAATGGCAACTGAGTACCTTAGTATTTCATCTCTGCCTCTTTGCTTCCTATTTCCTTGTACCAGCTTGCTTTGTAGCTCAATCCCATGAGAAAGTAGAAAGTGCCCACCCTGTAGTTTCCAAAGAGATTTTTATTACATTTTCTCTCCCAGAGAGATTCTTATATGTCTCTGGAATAGCTGTGATTGAATTTATATTATATGTCATATAAAGTATTTAAGATACTTTAAGATATTAAACTTAATGTAATTATCTCTTTATTAAAAACATTGACATTTTCTATTCACTGAGTTTTTTTTTTTTTTTAAAGATTTATTTATTTATGCATACAGAACTGGGCCACAGGCCAGAGATGCAGGGGCAGTGGAGGCTTCACCAGAGACAGAGTGGGGAGCAGAACAGGCAGATTGATGAGGTACACTGCTGAGGGGAGCAGATGGCGGGTCAGGAGAGAGGTCTGCTGCTTTAACCTGCTGCACCACCAGGGAGGGCCTCACTGAGTTTTTTAAAATAACTAATGCTTTTTTTTTTTTTAAAAAAGATGACTGATGCTTTGATTTCAATTACATTAAATGGAAGCAAATTTACATAGGAATGTGGTGGTGTTATCTTTTTTTAAATCTAAAATAATTTCTGGCTTTTTTATTTATTTTAGTGAGATCTCCTAACTTTATACATGCTAGCTTATGTTATGGAAAGAAGCAACAGTATTCTGAATAATTACGTTCTTTTTTAGTACAAACTGCAATTCTAAAATAATTGCCATTAATATCCAGCAGCTTAGAGAAAGGACTGAAAGGAGACTTAATATTTTAGAAAAATTCATGTTAATTATATGAAGTCATCTTGTTAGTTTTGTCCAATAACAAAATTATAAATGCAAAAAAATAGTAGTTTTCAGAAAAATGGTAAATGACAGAAAAGTAAAGCTACTGAATGAAAGCAGTCAGTCAAAACACTGTCAATGAGCAGATTTCATATTTCATGCCCCCCATTTTATCATAGTTATACATATTTACATATTTACACATAGTACATACATTTGTAATCAGTAAACTTGAGGTATTTAACCAGAGAGATTATGAACAAAAAAAGTAAAAAATACTTTATGAGAGAAATCAACCAGAGAACATGAAGATAGCTATTAATTAGATTTCATATTTTAACTAACATCCTTTTTTTTTATTACTACATAAAGTGAGATTATCTCTTTTCTTCACTAGAGAATTTTGGTAGTTTGTTTTACAAGTAATTTTTCCTGTTCATCTTTTAATCTTTTATTATTCTTTGATCTGTTTAATAGATCTGTAATGATTTCCTCTCTCATTCCTGATTTGCTAATTTGTGTCTCCTTTTTCCTAATCTGTCTAGATGTTTATTAGTTTTATTGATCTTAAAGAACCAAGTGTTGGTTTCATTGATACTCTGTATTTCTTGGTTTTCTGTTACATTTGTGTAGTTATTTTTTTCTTTCTCTTGCAAATTTATGACTTTGCTCTTCTTACTGTGAAATACGAGATCAAAGAAGAAATGGAGATCATTTCTTTTTTTTCTAATGTAGGCATTTTGCTCTATAAATATGCCTTTTAAGTTTCAGTATGTGCTAGCTGCAGGGTGTTTAAAATACTTTCTAATACGCTCTTTGATTTAATGCATTTTATTTCCAAAAGTTGGAATTTTGCTGGCATTTTTCTTTTATTGATTTCACTGTGGTCAGAGACTATACTTTCCAGGACTAGAACCCTATTACATTTACTGGACTTGTTTCTGACCTAGAATATGGCCTATCTGGGTAAAATGTTCCTTGTACACTTGAAAGGAGACATTCTGGATTGATTATAATGATAGTTGCCCAGTTAGTTGATAGTGCAGTGTTTAGTTGTTTAGTATTACTAACTTTTTGGCCTTTCAGCTATAGAGAGAGGGGTTGAAATCTCTTTGCTGTCATTGTGGAAATTGTTAAAGTCTGCTTAA